CAGAGCATGACTCTGCCAAATGAGAACCCCTGATCTATGTCAGGGGACACATAAGGTAGTGGCCTTGCAGGGTAATTATATTCGTAATATTGATAAGGTTGTTGTATGGACGGGTTATTAGGGTAACCCGGACCAGGCTCGATATAGGCGGGGTGATGCATTTGATGAAATTGAGGGTCTGATTGGTAAAATTGAGGATTTGTTTGGTAAGAATATTCTGATTTTTGATATCCCAAAACTGGTTTTTCTTCTTCCTTTCCCATTTTAATTAAATAAAATTCTAAATCCCCTATGAATTCTTCTAAATCTATTCTATGAAGAAAAATTAGAGAAGAATATAGGGGATTAAGAAAGGGGAAAAAAAGATAGAAAGAAACTCACATGAAAGTGAAACTAAAATTATTCTAATCAAAATTGTACTAGAAAAAAAATTGATAGTTCAAAATATTTAAGTAAGCGTTTACATCGGATCGAAGTATAACTTGATGGTTTATAATTTGTTGACATGTGTGGACTAAGATTTACGCCAAGTGACGCATTTTGTTATTGATAAATAGATAATTATTATGATAGAATAATATACATTTTTTTTAAAAATGGTACTAGAAAAGGAGTTGTTATAGAGATTGGAAGTTCCCAAAATGGCCTCAAGTTAAGATTTATTAAGTTCATATGTTATATTCTAGATCCGACTTCTATGTTTGGGCAAATAAGTTGGAAATTGTTAGCATTTAAATGTTATTTCACTTAATTTTGGTCCAAATAAATATAATTTGTGATGATTATTTAGATCCAACTAAATGACTTAGAGCTCATTTGGGAGGAAGAATAATGGATAACTAATTTCGAAATTAATTTTTAGGATGAATTTATTTCATGCTTGGTTGAGATTATATCATGTTATTCCATGATTCGTTATTCCGAGATTATAACTTTATTTTACCTCTCATTGAGATGGGATGACAATTCTGGGATAACTAATCCCGAAATTACTTATTCCCAATCAAACAAGCCTTTAAAATAGAAGCCTAGTTGGACCTTAGACTGTAGTCCATTTGGTTGATCTTCTATCAAATGAGCCCATTCATGTGAGGCCAAAGGCCCATTAGCCTTTATAGACCTTAGCTCTCACTTACATAAGAGAAGATTCATAAATAGCACTATTTAGTGTTCATTTTGGTAATATATAGCTCATTGTTTTCCATTCAAAATATAGCAAAATACACTATATTCGTGCGTATACAATATCTTGTTCTAGATGAAGTCGCGTGAATATGGTGTCTGATTTTAAACTCTATAGATATGTACGTGTTTAATTTTCAAAGTAGAAGTTCGATGTATGTGAAGACATCAGTTGTATGTGTAACTAATTGAATTCAAAGTTTGTGTTTTCAAACTATATGTATAGGTCAACTGTGAGGAATCAACACCTAAAAATATATGTTATATGTATGCCATATGTGTATATCAGATATTTGTTTTCATCTCTTTCGGGAGATTTTGCTCATCGCCAAGGGTTTTAGCTCAAACTTTTAGATTGATTAATTTAGGTTATGTCCAAAATGATCCATCAATGAACATATGACCAATCCAACCAGCCCAAGTTTGGGTTAGGCGAGTCATATTTTCATTAATTAAATTTGAGTAATTTGACACTTTTAATTTTGGTATATCTTGAACATGTAAAATAAAAAATTCATTGTTTACAAGTTTTGACGCTCAGTATAATCTTTATTCTCCTATGTCAGCGCATCGAAATTAATTTTACCCAAATTCAAGAAAAGTGAAAAACAAAGTAAATAAAAAATTTAGTAGAAAAATCAAGAACTTGCAAAATACAATTTAAAGTAAATGTCTTCATATACTATTGTAAATTTACACTGTTTCCTATTCCCAAGGAAAGAAAATAAAAAAGAAACTGTACAAAGATAAAAGAAAAATTCTAATCTAGTAAAAGGGCAACAACGAATCATTTTAACATCATTGTAAAAACTCATAAACTTCATATTGTGGTTCCGATACAATCTACACTCTCATCTTTTATCAACTCCCCTTTATCTTTAGACCCATGCCCAAATTGAACTTTCAAATCATTGCAATAAACCCTAATCCTCTCTCTTTTTGACTCTGTCTTGGAAGAATATTCATACCCCATATTAATTTGTACCGCAAATTTCAAAACCCCGGAATCATTTCTTGATCCATTAGCTTCTAACAAAATCCCATTTTCAAGGAAGGTACCAGGTAACGTTGTCAAATTGGAAAACAAGAAAGTGGAACGCTTTTCCCCCAAATTAAAAGGATCAATAATATTCTCCGCCAATAGATTTGTCTCATAGAAAATCCCAACCTTCCCTTGATTCACTTTTATATCTAGCTCATTATTTGGATTTTTCATCGATACGTTGACTTGCCAATTACCTAACATTGAGGTACTTGTGATCATGAGTCCTGTAGGAACTTGTAATGACATGATTTGAAATTGAGGCTTTTCCTTTCCGAATAGCATCCAGATGACTATACTGAACATGATCATCGACATAATCAATATCAACATCATGGTCGTTACATAACGACCGAACGACGTTGAATTAGTGTTGATATTATTACCAATTTGATCTTGCAATGGTAAATACTTTTGGGAATAATTCACACTATATGAATTATTATTATTATTAGGGTAATTATTGTAATTACTAGGCATAATAAAACTAGAATTGTTATATGATGAAGGAATTGTTTGTTGATGAGAAATATATTGGTTGTGTCTAGTCATTGACGGGTACCCCATAACTGATTTTTGTCTTTCAATATCTTTTGAGAAATCCATGATTATAACAACTTTATTTTTTTTTCAAATTATATTTTTGTTTTCCCTCTCACCCTTTTTACTAAAAAAAATAGGGAGAAGGATAGATAAATATATGGAAAAAAAATAATGGAGAAGTAGAAGAAAAAATATTGAAAATGATAGTGAAAAGATTGTGATTTTTTTTTTTTGTTTTTTTGAAGTGGAGAAGAGGTTAATTATTGTTGATGGGATTGAATGTGTAATAGATAAAAGAGGATTTAAACACACAAAAAAAATGTGGAGTTTAACGCAAGAATTGGAGGGGAAGGGCTTGGATATCAACCATTTGTAACTAATATTTTATCTTATGGTTTACGTTTATCGAGTTAAAAGAATCTTATCTATAATGTAAGTGATTTGTTTTTTAATACGTCTATTAAATGTGTATTCTAATCATTTGTAACTGATGTATATCTTATGAGTTATGACTAACACTTTTTTGAGTTAAAAACATCTTATCTATGAAGAGTAAGGGTGAGAAAAATCGAACCGATCGATAGATCGAATAAAAAAAAGTGTTATTGATTTATTGCTATTGGGTTATTGGGTTATTGGGTTAACGGTTTCTTAATGGTTTTATAAAAAAAAATTATCAGGTTATCGATTCGGTATTGGTTTTCAATATTGAGTTATTGGGTAAATCGATAACCCATTAAGAGTTAAGACTATAGTAATTTAATACTTTTACATATACATACATATTAATAAATATTAATCTCAATATCTTAATAGTTATGTCTTTGTCATTTAGCCATCAATTCATATTTTGCTGTAACTTTGAGTTCACAACTTTACATTATACAAATCGTCAAAACCTAAAGTAAGAATTATATTCCTCTTTATTTCTCTGTGTTACACATGTATAGTTTTTTTCATGTTTGTTATTATTATTTCTATTTTATGAGCTTTTGTAAAGTTGCATTATTGTCTTGTCGTGTCAAATTTATTAGAGAAGTCTTATATTTGTTTTATAAGCATATTCTTATTGGTTAAACTGAAAACCGAACCGTTAAGGACCAAAACCAATAAAAATTTATCTTATTGATTTGTTATTGATTTAGCATATTTAAGAACCGAAAAACCGAACCGATAATTCATAAAACCGAACCGAACCGACCGATGCAGGTGGTTGTTTTGTTGGACACGTCTGTTAAACATTTATCCTAATTCCATTTGTAACTTATATTTTGTATTATAGTTTACATTTTTTTCCAAATATGTGTAACATATATATTAAAGGTGATTTATTTTTTGGACAGATTTGTAATTGATATTTGTCTTATGGTTTACACTTCTTTGAGTTAAATGCATCTTATCCGTAATAGATATAAGGGTGATTTGTTTTTGGACACGCCAGATAACAAGCATAGATACACATTTAAAAGGAATAACCTAATACATAAAATATACCGCGTTCATATAGGACAGAAAGCTAAAAGGTCTTAATCCTGAAAGGGTGTACAATATAAGTAATTTATGTAGTGATTGATTTCATGTCTGGAACTTATAATATTTACGTTTACATAGGATAACTCTACGATTGCTCTAAAACTGCCCTTCACATCTCATGCTCACACAGAGTCGATCGAGGGCAAGACCACATACAACCCTACAATTGCTCCAAAATTGCCCTTCACATCTCATGCTCACACAGAGTCAATCGAGGACAAGACCACATACCCAAAGGAATGTGATATACAATCTATCTTGACACAATATTAATTTCACGACTCAAACATGTAATCTATATAAGTCATATAAAAATAATTTTATCGTTATTCCAAGAATTCTTCGATATAAAGAATGGAACATAGTTAGAGAACCCAAGGATTAGGACAAGTCTACTACTTGATGAGTCTTTTCATCTCTGTCCACACTCAATTCAAAATATTGGGTCACTCAATTTCTGAAAAAGGCAAACAATCAAATACTCTCTTCATTTATTTTTATTTGTTCATTTTATACTTTACACGCTCTTTAAAAAGCAATTATTAATATGAGTATTTCACCACAAACAGTATATTTCTCATAATGAACTCCCACCAATTTTATACACTTGCTCAAAAACTAACCCAAACCTCAAATATTATTTTCCAAAAATTAAGTTAAATCCAAAAGGTCACAACAATTTACAAAATGGCATGTGTGGCCAAAACTAGAAGCATTTATTATAATACACATATTTAAAGAGAAGTCACATTACAATTGCCATATGTAGACACCAAAAAAGGGAAAGATTTAAAAACAGGCCCTTTTGCCAAAAGACACCACCATTTTCCCTCAAAAAGACAATTGGTAATTAGATAAAAATTACACACACAACCATATGCTAAGTTCAATTATTTAAATCTACCAAATTACTATATCTAAAGATCAAATTACTATATATCAATAGGTCCAATTCTTTAGGTTTTTGCCATTTCTCATATGCATGGATATCTCTGATTAGTTTGTTGAACATCTTGCCTATTTTTACCACCTGCCATACAGAAAAATGAATCAGGATTTGACCCTACAAAAATTTTCTCAAAAAAACACTACATATACATGAGAAATCTGAGCAATAATAAAGTTATCTCAGTATGATCGATAAGTTACGAGTTCACAACAACAACATATTTAGTGTAATTCCACAAGTGAAATCTGAGAGTAGTAGTATGTGCAAAGCCTTATCCTCAACCTTGTAAGGATACATGTTTTCAATAGGTTACGAGCTCGAGCAGTGGAATTGGTTATTATTTTTGTCTCCGGATAGGGTGTCTACATTACACTACTTTGGTGAATGACCCTTCTTCTCCAAACCCTGAGTGACAGCAGGATGATTCATGCACCAAACTAACCTTTTTTGTGAATAAACTACCAATCATTAATTCTCATAACCTAGTTCTTAATCTTGCTCACATCTTAGTAGCTACTAGAAGGTTGAATTGAAATTGAACATGTTAAAATGGGATGAGTTAATAAAAAGACGAACTATTGACCCGCCCAAAAACCATTTGTGCTTAAATGGGCTAATAAGCGGGTCATAAACAACCCATACTTGGACGAGTTACATTTTCATGGGCTAATTTTGCTTGGAGGGTGGGGTGGGGTGGGGTAGGGGGGCTAGCATTCAAGAGGTAAGCAGCCTAACCTAAAGAATGCAACAAATCCTCCCCTTAAAACAAAACTGCCAAACATTTACTATGAGAAAGGAAATTTCAGAATGAACTACCATATATAACCAAAAGATATAAGAGAGGGTCAGATGTCAGTTGCTTTTCCCAAAAAACCACTTTTTTCATGTGTGCCCTATCAGAAAAAAAGGGGTAAAAGAGGAAACAAGAAAATATTTCACCCAACTAAGAACAAGTCATGAAAAATTGATAAAAGTTCACAGAGTGATATAATTATAACAACTTAACTAAGCTAAGAACAACAACATATTCAATGTAGTCCCACAAAATGGGGTCTGGATAGGAGAGGATAGGATATATGTAAATCTTACTCTTACTTGAGAGATACAGAGGCTGTTTCCAATAATCCCTCGGCTAACTCACCTAAGAATAAATCATAAAATTTGTTTCTCCCTTCCTCTACTTCTTGTCAAACCAAATAAGGAAAATGGTGAATTCTACCATCACTAAGAACACCATATTCTTAAAAGGACAGTTCGATGCACTAAGCTTTTATTATGCACAGAGTTCAAAAAGGGATTGAACCACAAGGATCTATTCTTATTCTCTAAAAATAATCTATCAACACTAGTTCAAGATTTACATCTTTAAGTACTTTGTGATTTGGTGTTTCTAACTAGTTCCATCTAGTTAAAATAATATCCATCTTCATTTAAGCACAACACTCTTACCCCTTTTAGTGACATACTTGTTCATACTAGGTATACCACACAATCTATCCAAGATTTGGTAGATAGAATTATATACCATACCTATCGTAGAGAACTAGTCAAAGTACGTGCAAGTTGAACTTCAAATTTCATTTAAAAAAATTTACCACTCTCAAGAAATTCTCACCTTTTCGTTCACTTGATGATTCGAGCCCACAACTTTAAGGTCGAAAGTAGAAAAACGCTTACTATATGAGCAAACCCCCTCTTGCCAAATGTCATACATATTATATTAACTTACATGACAAAAGCTTTGTTTTTTTGTTCTTTTTAATTACTAGTCTAGTCAAACAAAAATTAATCATACAAATTGAAAGGGAAAGAGTATGCATTTTGCATGTGATGACAATGCCCTTCAACTTGTTAAGCTTTAAACTAAGACTAGGGCATGTATATTCACATTGAACTAGGGATGGCAACGAGGCAAAACGGATGGAGAATAGGAGAAAATGTTATGAAGAGCGAGGCAAAGCATGTTGAAATTTTTGCGAATTAAGTTAAACTCGCCCCGTTGTTATCTCTACAATGAATGTAGTGTAATCTAACAACAACAACATATATATTTTCACAAGTGAGGTTTGGAGAAGATGTGATAGACTCTCGGCTCATTAATCATGATAACCAACAATAAATGAACACTAGGATTAGTATAATGTAAACGTTGCTCGGACTTTCCAAAAATATTGTCACGGCCTTATCGTTATCGGATTCTTCAAAATTAGCTCCGTCAACATTTTTGAAGAATCCAAGCAACATAGCTCGATTATTTAATTGACTTGCCTGGTCTCTTTCTACCATTGTTGTTGATATTGGTGGGTATTCTAGGGAGGAAGACACCAGTTCCACCATAATCTCTCACAGAACTACTTTCACCATTAAAACCACCGCCACTGCCACCGCCTCCCACAAATGGCGAAACCCGGTTTCCGGCGACCCGGTCTAGGCCGGGATTTCTTCTCTGCATTCTGATGAACCGGTTCTGCTCTTCCTTCTGTAAAATCAGAGCTCTTGCTTCCATCAAACTCTCAACCTATACCAATTTTGTAAGAGAAAAAGTTGAAAATCGAGAAATAACCGGACAAAAATGAAGTTTCGGTTCTACCTGGTGTTGAAGTTGAACCGGTGGATAAACCGGTGGTGGACCGGTTAGAAGCAGCTCTCTTCCTCTTCTATTCCGTTCAAAATACTCTGAAATTGAACAATCCGTACAGCTACAGCACCTCTCAGCCGGTCTGAACCGCCGCTGCAATATCGACAAAAACAGTAAGTAAAAACGAAGAAGAAGCTTTGAACCTCTGCAACAATGGCGAAATTCGAAGAAAAAAAACAAAACAGAGTAAAATGCCAGTACTAATGTAACGAAAAATTAGAGATTCTATGAAAAACCCATTTACCTCAGTAATGGGAAATGGCTTTGGAACACTGTGGGTATTATGAGTACGGTATTGAAGAAGTGAAATAGCAGCAGATACTTCTTGTTCAGCCATGAAAATGGAGCTATGATTATTGTGATGATGATGACGAAGAAGAAGAACACAAGAGTAACAACAGCAAAGAGAAGAACTGAGCTTATTATTATTAGTAGAAGAAACAGTTTCTTCTACTGGAAAAATATCAGAAGGTAGCCATAACTCTCCATCATCCAGATTTTCTGAAGAAGAATACTCCATTTTTTCTCAAAACCCACCAAGAATTCAAACTCAGAAACTCAGATTATAAGCTTTTAGAGAGAGAAAGAGAGTTGAGAAGAGAGAGAAGTTTTTCAAATTGACGTTACAGTTCTTTTTTTGCCTGCTAAAAGGTGTGAGAGAGAAGGGTGGGGTGGGTCACGTGACCAGAGGACTGGGGGGGTGGGTCAACTGACCAATAACTGGAAGCATATTGATAGTGGGTTTGGGGGTAGGGTAGGGGTAGGGGGTATGAGGTTTCTGCCATTTTTGGGTTTGTTCAGAGCTTTGTAGAGCTGAAGAGTTGCAGCATTGGCTTCTCTATTTGGAAGTTGATACGTGACAGCTCAGGGAAGATGGATGTAAATTTATATATATTGGATATATAAGTGCATATCACAAAGTGATTTCGTTATCGAATTTAGTCGGATTTCAATATAAATATTGAACATCAAGTAAGAAAATTAACAACGAGAATTGCTATCAATAAATATTTTGTTATGAACGAGAGTTGTGGTAGAGTTGTAACTGTTAAGTATTCTTGTATTCTTAATCAGAAATTTTGAATTTGACTTCTATGTGAATTCAAATCTAATCGAATTTTAATATGAATATCGATATAGAATACTAAAAATATATTCGATATAATTTCGTTATCGGATTTAGTTGGGTTTCAATACAAATATTGAATATCGGGTTAGAAAATTAACAACGAGAATTGCTATCAACAAATATTTTGTTATGAACAAGAGTTGTGGTAGAGCTGTAACCGTAAGTATTTTTGTATTATTAATCTGAAGTTTCGAGTTTGAGTTTTGCTGGATATGAAGTCATTTTTGTTTGGAAACATTCTATCCCTCAATGATGGACTTTTACGTGAATCCAAATTTAGTCGAATTTCAATGTGAATATCAAACACTAAATACTAAAAATTTATTCGAGCTTGCTGTCAAAAGTCGCTTCTGAGTACAAGTAGTAATAATTGTTTTTCGTATACAAATCGATGGTATTTTACTTTTGTTTTCTTCCTCTTTTTAAAATTCATATTAATTATGTTTGTTGTCGTGACTTTTTAAGGAACATTTTCATTATAAAATGAAAATACAAACTTATGTATGTATATTTTCAATAATTTTGAAAACTTATTGGGGTAAAAGTCAAATATTTCTATCAAAATCTATGGTTTAGCACATAGTAAAATTTCACTTAAAAATGATTTGACAAAAATATTTGAAAATTTATGTCAAGTAAAAGTAGAAGGAAGAAGCAGTACTTCAAATAAACATATTGTATTATAGTGAATTAGAAGATAATTTTTTTTTCTCCTATATATTAATGAACCAATTTAAAACTTTTTTTTATAAATATGGAGAAGTCCATTTGCAATCTTTGGGGTGTCACTTGTTAGTAGCAAATTTTGATCCATTTAACTTTCAATAAATTCTCATTTTAATTTTTGTAATGTATGATTAAATATATTTAATTTTTAATTAATCGAAACTTGTATTGTTTCTCCTTTTTATTATAAATCTTCATAGTTTTATCATGATTATCAATTGTTTCGTCATTCAATTATCATATTTATATTAAAATTGTATTTTTATTTCAAATTTAACCGTAATTTTTTCCCTAAAATAATTTTTAAACAATATATTTTCTATATAAAAGGATCAAAAGCATGTTTTCAATTAACTTAAATCAATTTAGCAATAATTAAGAGATCAAAAATGTTATTTATCCTCTCTTTTTTTCTCTTTGTCCTTTAGAAAATAATTATTAATTATTAATTCAAAGCTAATAATATTTATTAATATTTGAGTTGCTTCAAAGCTACCAAACAATATTTATTAATTGTTACAATATATGGTGTAACTAATCCTTACAATATGTTAACTACCTCCACTAAGCCTACTTTAACTTCCTAATTTTAATTTTGGGGTTTTTTTATTTGATTAATTATTTTCTTTATTATTTATTTGGCTTAGATCAAAACACTATATATGAATGGTATGAATTGTTTTAGATAATATCATGTATAATCTCTTAAACTTTATATTAAAAATTATGATGAATTAGGTACTTAATTCTTTGTACTTTATATGTGCACTTAAATAAAAGGGAAAAAGGCATTTGTTCAACAATATCACTAATTAGGTACTTTAGCTAATTAAATATACACGAGCAACATACACATAAAATCGTTGTTGCACATTTTTGCTAAACATAAAGAATTATGAATTTTACTAAAAAGAAAATATCTTTTAATAAGTATTTACTAAATTATGTTAAAGATATAACTTCGATTTCTAGAAATTATTATAGATCTTAGGTTTTTGCCAAAGTTGAAAATAATGTGTTTTCCCTTTTCAATAATTTTGATTTTTAGTTTATTTAGTTATCTCGATGATATCAGTATTTTGTTCTATTATGAAAGAAAATCCACGTAAAATATAGGAAACTTACATAAATATACTATGTTAGAAAAATATTTACCATTTATAACAATAATATTTTTTTTCACTTGATCACTTTTAATACATATTACAAAGAGCAATTTATTATTCACATATAATACAAGTTTTATTGATGGATAATACATTTATCACACATTTTAATACACTTATAATTCAATGTGTCAATTTCCTACCAAACAAACATAATATATTTTAAAAAACAGTTATAATGCATATATATTGCATACATAATTCACTTTTTAATACATATTGTAGAATTTAACATAGTATTGCTATAAATGGTAATAAATAAAAAGTATCGACTAAAATTAATAATTATTTATTAAAATGTATCCATCCAAAAAAAAAATTCTAAAATATATACACTTTTTTATAAATGAAAAAATTCAAACTAATTTTTACTTGGAACAAAAGTATATTTTTCATATTTTAGTATCTTTATCGATCTGCCATTTGTCTTTTCAAACTTTATTAAAAAAATTCTCCTATGATTTTTTATTCTTCGAATAAAACAATCAGGTGATAATTATGAGTAATAGAATCTTTATAGTTCTTTTCACGCGATAATTATGTAGTATATTGTTCATATCTGAATTCTAAAATGTATCATTTGTTCGTTTTTTGAATCAAGTCCTAATTGAATTTTTCTATTACTTCTCACACACAATAATCATCCAATCAACAAAGGTTGTGATGGAATGGTAAGTACTCCTTCATCCTTAATTAAGAGATTTCGGGTTCGAACCCCCTTGAGTACGGAGTCGTCTTTGTTAGGGAGCGCTTTATCCCTCAATGTGGGGCTTCCCGGCACGAATCCGAATTTAGTCGGACACCAATGTGGGTGCCGAACACCGAATAGGAAACCAAAACAAGAAAAATCATCTAGGAGGGGTCACCGAATTCACGTGAACCCATACTTCTAAAATCATATAATAGTAATGTTATATTTTTTAAAAAATATTTAAATATAAATGTGTGAATCTACACTTGAAGTATTAATGTGATGATAATGTGATGCACCGCTAGGTTAGAAATTTGAATTTTTTATTTATCTTGTTTTATTTTTTCTTCTAAAATTGTGTAACGCCTCTGTAAGTGATTTGGATAAGAACCTAAGTGTTAAATCGATCAAATTTATACTTAGATCCACCTTTTCATAATAGTGCATACATCATATTATTTGACACATTGTCTACATTTGAATCCTGAAAACGTATCTAAGTGTTTTATTTTGAATCAAACCCTATTATAATTTGTTTTCCTAAAAACTATACTCAAATATTTTTTTCTTTTAATAAGTAGCTCGACCTCTAACTCTCCATATAATAGGATACTCCACCATGATTAATTCTTCAACTTTGAAAATTTGTTCCAAGTCTCCCTTTAAACCTTTAAATTAATTATAATTCATTACCAACATTACAATCGTATTAAACACGCATAAGAAAAGAAAAAAAAACAAATTGAAAAAACAATAATTGCATTTCAAAATCAATTCACACTTATTTTATGAATTCAATTCATGGAAAAATCTCCATATTACATTTTCTTCAAACTCCCAAAATAACCAATATAGGGAATAATCCTTTAAAAAAAAACTAATTTATATTAAAAAAACAAAAAAACTTATTTAGTGGCAAGCTAATTTGTTGACCACTCCAAAATCAAAATCCAATTTCCTTAATAATCCATTCATAATCACTTCCCTAATCATAGGCTAATTTTATAAACTAAAATTATGGTACATTTTCCTTACCATATACCACAAATGCAGCAGATTCCTTCTCTTCTGCTCCCAAAAACTTTGTACAATTAAACCGTCACTTAACTAAAAAAAACCGGCCGGCGACACCGGTCCAAACCGGCTCCGGTAAACACCAACGATCACCGGATCATTTTTGCAGTGATGAAAACTGGGAATCTTTTCATTTCCATTATTACCCTTGCATTGCTCGCATTTACCTTTCGTCTTCATCGGAAATGTATCTTGGATCCTCGGAAACGGATCCGGGTCCGGGTACGGATTATTCCGATGTATCGGAATTGAGTTCAGTTGCGATATACCCATGGAGTAATTGTAATTGTCTCTCTGAATCTTCAAACTCTGCAACTTGTCGTTCAAATTTTCTAGTTCTAATGATGAAATTTGATCGAAAAATGGTGACCCGAATCCGATTTGATTCGGGTGGGTACGTCGGAGGAGAATCGGATTATCCGGTGGAGTTACGGAGAACTCATTCTCCGTCATGAATCCACCGGCGTAATCCGCTTTTGCTACCTTTCGGTTACGTGATTTTCGCGACCGTTTTAGAACCACGAGAAAGAAACAGTCCTTCTCACGAGCAATTAAACCGAAATTAGCTTTACCGGTTATGGGAATCCTCCGTCGATCTTCAAACTTTGAGCTTTTCCGATCACACAAGTAAATTGAAATCTGATTCGGTGAGATTCCGATCCTCTGGCTTAACATCAACTGAAACGCTTTGAATTCTAACAAAGGGTATATCCGAATACTCCCAATATTCATCTCTCTCTCTCCATCGTAAAACACCACCGGAAACTCCGGACCTGCACCGCCTTCCACCATTGCTCCGGCAAATACCACGTCAATTTCCAGCAAACCCAACAAGTGAAATATGCTAAAAAGTTGAATAAAGCCAAAACTCCGGCAACTAACACGCAATCCCCGGCAAACCCAACAAGTGAAACAGCTGAAGAGGGAACTCCGGCAACTAACACATCAATCCACGGCAAACCCAACAAGTGAAAAAACTGAAAAAGGAGTTTTTTTTTCGCAAACTCCGGCAACTAATACGTCAATACCCAGCAAACCCAATACACGAATATGCAAAAAAAAGG